TGTTATGCATTCAAGCATAACAGTTAAATTTCCACATAATTCACTTCATTTTCTTCCTTGAAGATATAGAGATATAGGCAACAGTCACTGTGTTAGTCTAATTAGCCTCCTCCTTTTACTTTCAATGGTCCAATCATTCACAATTAGGTGCATGAAGTAAAAGATCATTAAAGTATGGTTAATAGCTTTTTAAAGAGAATAGCACTCATGTCATAACTCAACTAAACTCACTTCTTGATTGGTTCATTATAATATGAGTTGATGTGTAATAATATTTGACAATTTTTAATCTGTATCTGTATGAGAATATTTTGAATCATTTCAGTCCTAACGCCAACGCCTTATCCTGAAACTAGGCTCCCTAATTCTAACTCCCCAAACAAGGAAAAAGCAACTAAATAGGTGACAACATTCTTTGGTTCATCTGTCTGTGTAACATAGCTTAACCAATCATTGCCAACTTGCTAACTCATATGAATTTCCTATCAAACATATAAATGTTGTTTCACATTTACTTTGGTATTCCTTGCAAATTGTCTTGACATGTTGATACGTTTGTGTGTAAAAAGTGCATGAAATTAATGGCACTCTCAGCTCATGGAAACTGTTGTAATAGCTGTCAAGCAAATGTTTATAATAGTTTTTAGGAAAACTATCTATCTGTCTATGCATTTAGATCACCTGCCTTTTAAATATTTGAAAAAAATCTGTCAGCAGTCCGAAAAGGGAATCATATCTTTGACAAAGTGAGGATGTGTTTCTCCCAGCTCGCCTCTGTCTCTGAATTTTTTCAGGGGTTGACCATCGTAACTACAAAAAACCCTTGCAGCCCCCCCGCCCAAAATGCCACCAACTCCAAGTTAAAGTCTGAATTTCCAGGTAATGTCTCCTGGGTCATGTTTATAGAGCTGGGAATTGTCCCAGTTCTGCATCCTTGAACCAGGATTGAAAACTAAGGCCCTCATGTCCTCCTTGGCACTTACAGTGCCACTTATGTTTTTATCATCAACAGTCCTGGATACCTTTGTGATAGATGTTTTTATGTATTGTAAATAGCTGAAGCCCCAGCACTGATCCTTGTAGTATTCCACAGCCAACCAATCTAAAAATGACCTGCTTATCCCTACTTTCTGTTTTCTATCCTTCAACCCCAATATTCTATTCAAAGATTACCAAACTCTTTAAGCCCCGATGAATAATTACCCTGCTTTAGTTATCACTAAAGTCTATTGACACGGGAACAATTGTGCATTTGAAAACCATCCATTTTTGACACATTTTGACAAGGTAATATATCAATGCAAGTCAAGTCTGTAAGTCAAACTTGTATCAACACAGCCTTCGACAGTTAGGAGTGAGCTCCCAGCAGTTTAACCTTGACACAGCTTATGGATATTTAGTGATACTGTCCCATAATCTGTTTTGGTTTTCCCCAAAGTGACAGCTGCTGAGCTAGGTACCAGCTTTCTTTATAGTCAGGACATTGCGGTGGAGACAGCAATGTTGACACTGAATATATTTTTTGACAATAGTTTAGTATTTTTCTGTGCACAGTTGACCTTTCTGGTTGAAGTATTTTTAAAATTATATAGAGTTAATCTGACTTAAGTCTCACAGAAAATAAGTTAATCGACTTAGGATCTAGATTCCAGGTGGCAGGTGGCAAGTCTATTTCTGGAGATTATAGATCAGTTTTG